GCGAAGGAGAGGAAGACCCTCAGTGACCCAGGTGGACTGACACAGCGCCTGCCACGATGGGCTCTTGTGTGTCAGGACGTGTGAGGACAGCACAGGATAGAACAGGGTTTAGATCTCTTATTCATGGGTCACTGTGAGTCGTTACCAGACTTGATGGCACCTAACAACAACAGTTTGCAAAAGACTCATCTGTTTATGCATCTTCAGCAACAAAGATAGAGGAATGAACTAAACGTCCTGTAACGTCCACGTAGGCTATCAGGGAGGGCTAACTCAGGGCTGCGTCTCTCAGGAAGAGGTCACCACCCCAGCCAGGAAAGCATGATGTGCTTAGTGACAATCTGATGGGTGAATTTTAAGTGTTAAAAAATACCCAGGCTCTACACAGAGAGCTGCAGGAAGAACATTTCCGACGACAAGATCGTCACAGGCAGAGCGGAAAGAGGGGAAGAGAGGAAACAAGTCCAACCAGTGGCCTAGCGTTTACGCACAGAGAGGGAGGCGGCAGAGTGCGGAGACGCCACGCTCCAGTGCAGAATCTCCTCACTAGAGAGGGAATTCTGCGGAGGAGTCAAGGCAGGCTGGGCAGCCCAGAACGTCCTCAGAGATTCCTCCCCATCCCCACGTGTGCGCCGCCTGGGAACAAGTTCTCACAACAGCATTCCAGAGTTCAAGGCCACCAGGCGCCAAGGGTCTCCAAAGCCAAGGTAAAGGAAAAGTTCTGAATAGGGAAAAGTTTAAACCCTTATTAGAAGTGATCAAATCTCAATCTCTCTCTGAAGGCTGAACCTGGGCTTCCAGGCACAGATGGTCATGTGAGTAGAGCCCATCGATGGAAACAAGACTGAATAACCTGTGTCCTTTCTGCACTTGGCTTTGGGAATTCTGACACCACCCAGCAAAGCCACAATGAAGCTCTCAAGCCACTGTGCTAACTGTAGCAACACCCAAACAGAAAGAAAAGCCAACAGAAAAGACATCAGAAACTCAGAAGAGAATAAGGAACTCTGAAAAGACATTCTAAAAATCTGAAGGACTTCGTAAAAATTTTCAAGGAGAGGAGCAAACTGGGGGTGGGGGTGCGGTGGGCGGGGAGAAAAGTGTAACAGTGAATGAATGGAAGTCCAAAATCTCTGTAGATGTTCATTGAAATTAATAAAAAAACCAAAAACTGAACCTCCCCAGTAACGTTACTGCCGGTTTGTTGTGTGGGGGTTTTTTGTTGTTCTTTTTTATTAAAATGAGCACTTATGCCAAGAAAGAATACCACATGAGATTCAGAAAACAGGATTCTAACAAAGAGGGGAATTGATATTCTCAGGATCCAGTGAGGAAAATGCCAGGGTGAGGGATTGTGACAGACTGTCAGTCAGTCCAACGGAGCCCGACGGCTGCTGCTGTTTGGTGCCACAGCTAACGGGACCAGGGGTTCCAGAGGGTGACATGGGGCAGAAACGTGACGTGGCCACCTCCACGTCGGCTCCGGCTTAGGACAAGAGGCAGTGGGTCATGGAACGCAGAATGCTGTTACGTGAAAGGACCACAAAAAAGTATGCACAAGAAATGTAACTGCTTCCACACAAACCAGCTATGAACCATCGCAGAAACAGATGGAACCAGAAGCTCAGATGTAAATATGGTGGAGTAGGAGGGAGGCAGAGTTGGGGGTGCGTTCTGAGGCGGGGGGTGCTGAGAAAGCACAGCTATCCTCTAGGAGGGTGGCAGAAATCAAACTGCTGCTGCCAAGTGCTAACAGAATGCACTGAGGAGGGCTGCAAGAGGCGAGAAGGACCGGGATGTGGAGTGGGGGGAGGCATCTTTTCAGGTGCCTTGCTACTTTCTAACTAAAAGGATGACCTTTAAGAAATGCAGCCCAGCAACGTAGCAGAGCGCATGCCGCGTCCACCCGCTCACTCACCCGGGCGGTGATTGTCCCGTGTTTCTCTCCTTTGTTGTTGATCATCCGGATCCCGGCCGACTGAAACATCTCCTTCATCTGTGCAGGGGTGGCTGTGGTTGCAAAATCCACATCCTGAGGCTTCACGCCATTTAATAAGTCCCGCACTGCTCCGCCTGCGATGCGTAACTCATGGTTTTCTTTGACAAATAATTCTGGGGAGGGGAAGGAGATTCGTATTCCAATGAGCTTCTTCAGAAGAGTCACAGCAGCACCAAGGTGGTTAGTGTGAGATACTAGAGACCACTTAGCTGAGCCCTTTCATAGGACACTGAGCATGTGGGCCCAAGGACTGAATGGACAGGAACTGGGGGGCAGGCACCTGATGGGGCTGTCTGTGCATGGTCAGAGTGCACGGGCCATCAAGGTGATGTGAATTAGTACCACACAGAAAGCTCCCGATTCTGCCCTCTTAGTCTAGCTTTAAGTGCACACCTCAGACATGGTGAATTGTGTTGTATACGGATGTTGAGATTCAGTGCCCAGGTCACCTCTGAAACCACCACACCATTTATGAGATCAGGGATAAAAATCCTGTAAGAAATAATCTGCATCTGATGTTTCAAAATCAACTCGTATGTCTGCTCTGACTGAAGGTCACATGGGTACGAGGACTACCAGGAAGCCCTCAAGCCAGAGGTCCACAGGCACAGAGCCAGGCAAATTCAGCCCAGCTTTATCCCCAGGGCAACAGGATGGCCTGTGGAGCTTTGTGAGGGGGCCAGCAGGAGCTGGTGTCCAGAAGCTGGGCCTGGGTGCTCCTCTGCTAGACACAGGTCATTTCCTGACATCCAGCCCACCAGCCACCTAGCCCACTGCCATCCAGCTCGTCAGTCACCGATCCCGCTGACATCCAGGTGGTCAGCCATCCAACCAGCCCATCAGCCACCCAGCCCACCAGCCAACTACCCGTCAGGCACCCAGCCTGTGAGGCACGGCCACCCAGCCCACTGCCATCCAGCCCGTCGGTCCCCCAGCCCAATGCCACCCAGCTCATCAGCCGTACAGCCCATCAGCCACCCAACCTGCTGCCACCCAGCCCATCAGCCATTCAACCCGTCAGTCAGCCAACAATCTGCCATCTTGCCCATCAAGTCACCCAGCCTGCCAGCTACCAGCCCCCCAACCCTCAGCCCCTCAACCACTCAGCCCACCAGGCACCCAACAAATCAGCCACCCAACCTGCCAGGCACCCAGCCAGCCTGAAACCCAGCCCGTCTGCCACACAGCCTGTCGGGCTACATCCAGCATATCTCCCACCCAGCCCCTTGGGCTGCATCCAGCCCATCATCCATCCAGACCGTCAGCCACCCTGCCCATCAGCTACCCAGCCCGCCAGCCACCCAGCCCGCTGTCATCCAGTCTGTCAGTCACCCAGCCTGTCAGCCATCCAGCCTACTGCCATCAGGCACACAGCATGTCAACCACCCAGCTTGTCAGCCGACCAGCCCGCTGCCATCCAGCCTGTCGCCCACCCAGCTAGTCAGTCCCCCACGTTGCTGCCACCCAGCCCAACAGTCACGCAACCCATTGCCACCCAGCCCGTCAGTCAACCAGCCCACTAAAACCCAGTCAGTCAGCAACCCTGCCTGTCAGCCACCCAGCCCGCTGCCACCCAGCTCATCAGTCACCGAACCTGCTGACATCCAGGCTGTCAGCCACCCAGCCAGCCCATCAGCCAACCAGCTGCCAGCCACCCAGCCCATCAGGCCCCCATCCCATCAAGCACCCAGTCTGTCAGTCCCCCAGCCCACTGCCACTCAGGACCTCACCCACACAGCCCATCAACCACCCAACCCGCTTACACCCAGTCCGTCAACCACCCAGCCCCTCAGACACCCAACCTGCTGCCACCCAGCCCATCAGCCATTCACCCAACAGTCTGCCATCTTGCCACTCAGCCCGCCAGCAACCCAGCCTGTCAGCCATTCAGCCCGTCACCCACCCAGCCATCCCGTCAGCCATCAAGCCCATCGGTCACTCAGTCCACTGCCATCCAGCCCGTCAGCCACCCAGCCATCCCGTCAGCCATCAAGCCCATCGGTCACTCAGTCCACTGCCATCCAGCCCGTCAGCCACCCAGCCATCCCGTCAGCCATCAAGCCCATCGGTCACTCAGTCCACTGCCATCCAGCCCGTCAGCCACCCAGCACACTGCTATCCAGCCCGTCAGACAGACAGCCCACTGTCATCCAGTCCGTCAGCCACCCAACCTGTCAGACATCCAGCCTGTCAGCGGCCCATCCCCCTGCCATCGAGCCTGGCTGTCGCCCAGCCCATCAGCCAAGCAGCCTGCTCCCACCCAGCCCGCCAGTCACTGAGCCCGCTGCCATCCAGGCTGTCAGACATCCAGCCAGCCCGCCAGCCACCCAGGCTGCTGCCATCCGTCTTGTTAGCCACTCAGCCCATCATTCCCCCAGCCCAATGCCACACAGCCCCTCAGACACCCAACAGTCTGCCATCTTGCCCGTCAGTCACACAGCCCACCAGGTACCTGCCTGCCAACCCGTCAGCCCCTCAACCACTCAGCTCACCAGGCACCCAGCACATCAGCCACCCAGCCTGCCAGGTACCCAGCCCGTCAGACACCCAACAGTCTGCAATCTTGCCCATCAGTCACACAGCCCACCAGGTACCTGCCTGCCAACCCGTCAGCCCCTCAACCACTCAGCTAACAAGGCACCCAGCACATCAGCCACCCAGCCTGCCAGGCACCCAGCCAGCCTGAAACCCAGCCCATCGGCCACCCAGCCCCTTGGGCTGCATCCAGCCCCATCACCCATCCAGACCGTCAGCCAAGCAACAGGCTGCCAATGAGCCCGTCAGCCTCCCTGCCCATCAGCCACCCAGCCTACTGCCACAAAGACCATCAGGCATACAGCATGTCAACCACCCAGCTCGTCAGCCGACCAGCCCATCAGACACTCAGCCCGCTGCCATCCAGCCTGTCACCAACCCAGCCAGTCAGTCCACCAACCCGCTGCCACCCAGCCCGTCAGTCAACCAGCCTGCTAAAACCCAGCCAGGCAGCAACCCTGCCTGTCAGCCATCCAGCCCAATCACATACCCAGCCCATCAACCACCAAGCCTGTCAGCCACCAATCCAGTCACCCAGCCTGCTGCCATGCAAGCTATCAGCACCCAGCCACCCAACCCACCAGCCGCCAGCCACCTACCCGCCAGGCACACAGCCTGTCAGGCACCCAGCCCATCAGCCACACAGCCCTTCATCTGTCCAGGCCGTCAGTCACCCAGCACTCTGCCATTCACCTGTCAGTCACCCAGCCCGCCAGCACCCAGCCCAAAAGCCCTCCGGCCACTCAGCCCGCCAGCAACCCAGCTCAGCCACTCAACTGTCGGTCACTGAGCCCACTGCCACCCAGCCGATCAGCCACTCAGCTCGCTGCCACCCAGTCACCCAGCTACACAGCCCGTCATCAACTGACCTGCCTGCTGCCACCAAGCCCGTCAGCCACCCAGGCCATCAGCCATCAAGCCCGTCGGTCACCCAGCCCACTGCCACTCAGCCCGTCAGCCCACTGTGACCCAGCCAGTCAGCCAGCCAGCATTCTGCCATCCAGTCCCATCCATCAGTCACCCAGCTGGCTAGAAACCCAGCCCGTCAGACACCCAGCCTGCTGTCATCCAGTCCGTCAGCCACCCAACCCTTCACACAACCAGCCCGTCAGCTGCCCATCCCCCTGCCATCCAGCCTGGCAGTCACTCAGCCCGTCATCCATTTAGCCTGGCTGCCCCCAAGCCCACCGGCCACCCAGCCCGCTGCTATCCAGCCTATCAACCACAACCAAAAAAGCCTGGGCATCAGCTATGCCTCCTGTTCCCCAGTCCAAAATCCGTGCACCCAGAGGTTGGTCCCATCTGGATGGGGAAGTCATTCTCGATCCCACCAGCATCACACTGCATATACAAGCAAAAAGGAAATTAATCTGCGAGAGCACCACAGAGTCTACACTATGAACACGTGGAGGCCCCACGGCACAGTCGGCACAGTCGTTAAAGCACCGAGCTCTTAACTTAGTGTCAGCGGTTCAATTCCACTAGCCACTCTCAGGAGAAGAACAAGGCATTCTACTTCATAAAGATTTACATCTTTGGAAACCTATTCTGCTGTCCGACAGGGCTGCTGGGAGGGAAAAATCAAGGCAGTGAGATTTTTTGGCTCATTCTGTAAGAGAATTGCCTAGTCTCCCAAATTCTCACATAAAGACAATTAACAGAAGTCTGTGAAGACCTCACTAAGGTCCAGCATGGGGCATCTAGTTAACTGGCCTACTGACATGTGGAGTCCTCTCGTACCTCCTCAATCATATAGAACACCTTCCCTGGCGTTGCTAGAACAGCCAAGGAGGAAGAGGGGAACTAAGTGACTCCACCACCAACTGCCCCTCTGCCATCAGGAACCAGAAGGGCCTGGCCACTACTACCTTGTTACCTAAAGAAATACTGATCAGATGGGAGAGAATTCAGAGCATAAATTCAAACTGTCACACTCTGAGCTTTCCAGAACCACAGTGGGTGGGTGAACCCGAGGCAATGTCTTCAACCTTAAACCAAAATCACCCCTGAAGTCATCCTGTAACAGGACACTTTAGCTTAACCAGAAAAAGTTCTTCCAAGAACGTAAGCCTCAAGCCAGGCCTATGTGCACAGAAGCAAACTGCCTGCAGTAACTTGGGGGGGGGGGTCCCCAGGGCCTTGGGGCAATGAGTTTATGTCACTGAGAAAGGAGGGTGCTCCACCTCAAAGCCAGTGTCTTTGCTGTCACCAGTGTCACTGAATTTCACACCCTGATGAACTAGTGTGTGCAACGAGAGGACAGAGACCTGGGGAAACTAACCGCATTCCACACACGCTGCAAGCTCACCTGCGAGGCTCTTCAGTCCTTCCGTGAAGAGTGACTGGAACTCCGGGGACTGCAGCTTCATGGTGAACAAGGGCCGGCACAGGGACGCTGGGCTCCGGCCGCCACGCAGGAGGGGCCTAGGCCAGGCTCTCAGGACGCTCAGCATCTGCAGGGAGACTCAATGACCAGGGGCCCCACACAACTAAACCCAAATCCAAACCCGGCCAAGGGCACAGAGGGGCATGGGTCTGCTCAGGTGCGGAGAGGCGTGTACTCTACTCCCCTGAGCACGTGGCCCTGTGTCACACCTGGGGAGGGGCCAGCAGTGACATCTTCGGGATTTTCAGAGGCTCTGTATCACCTGTGAGGACACTGCCCCCTTTCTCCCACAGAAGAGCCGGTGGATTCGAACCATCTGCCCTTGGGTTGGCAAAGAAGCCCCTACCCACTGGGCCACCAGCGCTCCACAGGACAGTTAAGAGAAATCAAAACA